GCCAGCTCAGCCTCCCACCCCCAAGGTTAAGTAGCAGGGTGGCAAGATTGGCAGGTGCGCACACAGGGAAGTGCAGACTCAGGGACACAGCACCAGGTGAGCAGGTAAAGGGTCTCATGACAGGTGTCTGCTGTGAGCTGGGCCTGTGGTCCTGCTCTGGGCAGTGAAGGGTGGGGAGCAGGGCTGATGAGGGTCTTTGAGTACCTGCTGTGTGTGTGAGTCCTTGTATGTCTTTCTCTGAATATCTTTCCAGGGTCCATGTCACCTGTATCTTGCAATATGTGGGTCTGATTCTCCCTGATAATTCCACCCTCCCTCGTAAATTGAAAGTGCCCCCTTGGGGCATACTGCCCAGAATCAGCTGGGTAGATTTGTGAAGGTTCCCAGTGCCACTTAGATCACTACCCACTTCTACTTCAAGTAGAAAAAGGGTATGCTTTTTTTCCTCCCCAAATAGAAGTCTGGCAGCTGCGTCCTTGAGGGTCCATTTTGAGGCTTAGGTCCTGGGAGATGCCACCCCTGTATTTCTCCTTGCTCCTCTGGGATGAGGGTCTGCCTGCCAGGGACATTTCCTTCTCCCAGGGAGTGGCAATGCTTGCATTACCCTGTGAGTGCTTGCCTTTAGAGTGAGCCTGGTGCCGGTTCAGCCCCAGAAGGTTCTCTTTCCCCCACCTGTTGGGGCCCAGGATAAACCTAGAGGTGAGCTGGGTTCTGGGAAGCTCAGGGTTACTGACTCCTGGAGACGCAACTTCTGTGAGTCCCAGAATCCAAAGGCCCCTCGAATGCAAGGCGCTGGGACCCCAGCAGGGCCAGCATGAGGCTGGTGTGTGGGGAGGGGCCTCTGGAGGCTCCTCTGTCTTCCTATGGGTCTGTCCCTCCAGCATTCATTCTTTACCCCTCCAGCTCCGGTCTCACTTCTGATATCTCCCGCGTGCATCTTTCTCTGTGGTTTCTCATCCTGTGTATTTACTTGTGCCTTCATCTCTTCTTGAGTGAAAACTGTTGGCGTTGGAGTCAGAGAACCCTGGGCCTGCAGGGCAGCTCAGTCATCTAACCTCTGATGCCTGTTTTCACATCTCTAAAATAAGAATCTTAATTCTCACTGCATAGGGTTGTTTGGGGACGGACTGAGACCCCGGGCATGGGATGTCGCCAGCACAGTACCTTGCAGGCAACAGTACAGAATTCTCTGCAGAATTCTCTCTCAATGTGTGGCGGCAGTCGGGATGAGGTTAGGAGGGTTCTTTCTTTCTTCCCATGTGGAGCTTTCTCTTCCTCCTTGCTCTGGGGAGTGTTTATGAGGGCACACACCCCCCCCTCCCCGCCCTGGGTGTGTCTCTCTTCTTTGAATATCCACCCCACCTCCTGGTTATGAGTGTTTGGGGCTTTCCCTGTGGTGGAGGTCTCTAATTCTGGGCTTGAGTCATTGCATGATCAGGACAGGGACTGTTTCTCTCTGGCCCTGTGTCTACGGTGGGTTGGTTGGCACCGGTGGGAGCTGCTGTGCTGGGTGGAAGTTTCGCTGCGGCTGGTGTCTTCCCTGCCATGTGGGAGGGGGTGCCTCTCTCTTCCTTGAAGTGTTGCCTTCTGTGTCCAGCCTGTGTAGGTGGATGCGAGTCATGTGCCCCTCGGGTGTGCATCTTCAGGTTGGTGCATTCAGGCATTGAGGCCCATGGGCTTCACGGGGAGTGTATCAGTTCCTGTCATCTTGACGCTGAAGCTGATGCAAGGCTGTCTTCAGCTGCTGCAGCAATTAGCCTAGGCCTCCTCCCTGGCTGGCTTCATGTGATCTCTGTCGGCGAAGAGGCCTGGTCCCCACTCCTCTGAGCACTGGAGAAACAATGCTCCTCCAGAACCAGCCCTAGCAGAGGCCCTCTGCTTTGGGCAAGGATTCGGCTTCCTGGGCATCTCCTGGGTCGGCTCTGTGTTCTCCCAGTCCATGGTAGTGGGCACGGCAGAGCCCTGCTTCTCTGTATATATTCTTTGAGGTTTTGAATCATAGAGTGGCCCGTTCTTCCGTCAGGGCTTCTGGCCTGAAACACGCTCCGTCCCTGTAGTCTTGAGTGTGTCCTCTCAGCTTTGCAGTCAGAGCGCCCTCAGGATCTTAGTTCTTTTCTGACCTTAGGGGTTTTCATCCAGCCCTGCTCTTCCTATCACAAAGAACACCGTGAGCCAGGGTCAGGTGGGCTATGAGCTAGCAGGCCAGGGTTCCAGGACCCAGCACCGCTCCATTCTCGCCTCTCTAGACCTTGTTCCCTCATCTGGTGTGGCTGTCAGTGCTGTCCCATAGAACCCCACAGTGGGGGAAATCTAGATCCATGCCAGGATGGGAGCCAGTAGCCTGAAATGTGGTCAGTGAAACTCCTGAAATGTGGCTAGTGCCATGAATGAACTACAGTTTTAATGTAACTTGATTTAAGTTTAAATAGTCACGCGTGGATACGCCACCATGTTGGATAGCCTGACTCTGAGGTCTCTAATAGCCCAGAGGCTTGTGATGCTTGACGAGGAACATGGAATTCCCCAGAGCTCCAGAGAACTGCCTCGGGGAGAAAGCAGGACAGAGCCCTCTGCACCCGGGAAGCCTGACTAAACCTCAGTTGCGTGGGAGGAGGAGACGGAAGGACCATCTGCGCCTGGTATATAGGCTCCAGGGACAGGGGAGAGACCAAGGGCTGGGACCCACATGCAGGTCCTTGCCATCATGGCTTACAGCTTCTGTTTGCATCCCATGCGGATCCTCATCAGCTGAGAGGGGAGTCCTTGCTGGCTGGGTCAGGAAGGCATGACTGGAGCCGCAGCAGTGGGGTGGTGGGCAGCCTCACCTGGCGAGGAAGCTCTCAAGTGCCCGGCCAGGACCCACCTGCAGCCTCAGGTGCAACAGCTTCAGTCTTCCCAGGCTGCGTACCTTTCTCAGAGTGGCTTCTCCCTCTCCTGGAGGCAGCCTGGTTGAAGCTCCTGGGCTCCAGCTTTGTGCTTCCAGGACTCCTGTCTAGGGTCCCCGTCCTGAGGAGCTAACAGGAGCCCCAGCCCCTGTGGCACCTGGGGGTCTAGAGGAGGAGGCGTGTGCAGATCGGGTTTTAGGCGTGACCCTTTGCCTGTCTGGAGCTGTTGCTGCCGGCCGCAGTGACTCACTGGGGAAGGAGGGAGGGTGGGGCTGACATGTGGGCGAGGGTGAGCTGGCTGCTTTCTCCCCGCCTGCTGCTGGCTCAGCACCAGGACGCTGGGCTGAGAAAGGGGCCCCACTCAAGGAGGAAGATGGGTGCTGGGGAGACCCGAGGGGGCTTCGGAACAGAGAGGCCTGGGCTGGAAACTTTCACCGTCGCTGCCTCTGCCTGGCTCTTTATCTGCAGGGCTGGCTTCTTAGCACTGGACTTAACCCAGAAGGTGCCCTTTAAGTTCCAGTTTTGCTGTTTCACATTGGAAAGGGTCATGGCCACTTCCTGCAGTGGCCTCTCTGCCTGCTGGGAAGGGATGAGCTGTTTTCCCAGCTCACACCTGTGCCAGCAGGCCCTCAGCACCTGTGTCCATGACAAGCACTGCATTTCTGAGTTTGTCAACTGGGAGAACAGGTGTGGAGGCCTAGGCTGGAGGGGGTGAGGGGTTGTGTTTACCTTTTCATCCACGTTGAGATCCACCTAGACTGGAACTGCTGAGTGCCTGTGAATTTCCAAGAGTCACAGTCCTGTAGCACCTTGAAGACCCATTTATAGTCATTTCTGAGAAGGTTCTCAAGCCTCTGGAACATTCTGAAGCTAAATTGGTTACACCCAGAGCACCTCAGTTATAATTTATATCTGGGACAGGATCTAAGTGTTTTGAATTTCCATATCTGGCACATGGAGTGCATTCAATAAATGTTTAGAGGATGCATGAGTGGCGTTAGGTAACAATCTCATGCAGTATGCAATTAAGTGCTGGGCTGGGCTGTGTTTGTTCCTGACTAGAGTCTTTTGCAGCCTCTGGTACAATGGTGGACATTCAGGAGGTGATCGGTAGTTATGTATTTATTGATTGGTAGACTAATTCTTGATGCAAACAGCTTCAGGGTGGAGCTCTGGGTGAGGCTCCCCTACACAATTTCAGGGGTATGCTTTTGATGGCTGATGCCACCATTTTGTGAGGGTGGCTGTAGTTCCTGGCTGTACCCAGGGTTCTGCCTAAAGTCTTATCAGGGTGCCACTGCAGCTGACAGCTCATCCTGTCGCGTGGCATGACTTTACTTAAGGACCTGCCTCATGGTTCAGTGTGGGCAGCCAGATGGGTCTCCACTCACCGTGGGTCTGAGGCAGGCTTGGCTCTACCCCAGCCTCTTGGTTTGGGCCCTTGCCTGCTGGGATTAGGGCTCCTTTTTGTTCAGGTAGCGGCAAGACTCCTAGAGTTCCCATCTGGCGAGGATTCCTCTTGGTCCTGAGGACCAGGTTAGAGATGATAAACTAGCATATTGTCACTGGGAGAGGGAGGGCATTGCCATCCCCACCTTAGAGGCCCCTTCTGAGGAGTCTCATATCAGACAAGATGTGGTTTAGGGGAGCATTCCAGATGCAGGTTGTAGACTGGTATCATTGTTCTCTTGGAGTAAAGCCTGGATAAATTGGTCTCTCAAAATTTCTGTCTCCATCTGTAAAGTGGAGACAGTAATGTCTCCCTCCGGAAGCTGCTGTGGAGACTGATGAGCATGTGGTGTTGTGGAACACCTGTGTTGCCAGTGCTCGCTTCTCTTTCCTTCACACCTCTCGGAAATCCTTTTTCATTTCCATTTTTGCAGATGAGGAAAAGGAGGTTCAGAGAAGTCAAGTGCCTTGGCCAAGGTCCCACAGCTAGGACGAGGCAGAGCCAGGATTTGAAACTGGGTCTGGCCTCCTCTCAGCCTACTTTCCGTGATACCAGGCTTGAGAATCATGGAACTGCTGACTGTAGTGGGGGCTTGGCCTGGGGAACAGCGTTGGTCAGGGTTTCAAGTGAGCTGAGTGTGAGCATCTTTATGAATTTGTGCCTAGGCTGTGTGACCGAGATTCCCGACACAGAGACTGAGGGGAAGAAAGGAAGGAGGGGCGGGCTCCTGGCAAGGCATTCGCTCCTGGACTGAATCCTGCAAAGGTCAGTAGGAGGGAGAGTGTGAGGGTTTGTGGGTGGAGGTGTCAGAATGGGGGATGTCGGAAACCTCTTGTGGCATTGGGAGGTTGGGCCCTGAGTGGAAGGGACAAGGGGCTGGTCACCTCCTTTTCACTCCCTGGAATCCCAAATCCATGGCTTTCTCATGCCCTCATGTCCTCATGTCCCCACTGACCTGAGCTCCATTTTCTCATCTCTTCCCAGATGGAGAAGGAGGAGGAGACTACCCGGGAGCTGCTGCTGCCCAACTGGCAGGGCAGCGGCTCCCATGGGCTCACCATTGCCCAGAGGGATGACGGTGTCTTTGTGCAGGAGGTGATGCAGAACTCCCCTGCGGCCCGCACTGGGGTGGTCAAGGAGGGTGAGTGTGCATTGGGTGCCAGGAATTGGGGGTGGGTGAGGGTGTGGAAGGACAGGAGAGAGGGCAGGGAGCAGGCACAAATGGGCAAGTGGCTACAGAGGATCCAGTCCCAGCACCTCAGGATGGTGGGTACCAGAGTCTGGCCCTTTCTTGCCTGTGGACTCCTGGGAGGCTGCTGTGGGGGTCATGGAGACGCAGCTTTGGAAATAGTCTTTCTTTTCCTTTTTTTTTTTTTTTTTTGAGGTACAGGACACTCTATCACTGAACCACATTCTTAACTGTTTTTATTTTATTTGGAGACAAGGTCTTGCTAAATTGCTGGGGTCTTGAACTTGCAATGCTCCTGCCTCAGCCTCCCAAGTTGCTAGGATTACAGGTGTGTGCATCTGCACCCAGCAATAGCCTGAGCCCCGGTTTCCTCATCTGTACATTGAGTCTTACCAAACCCTCCTGGTGCTCATGAGGGTTAAAGCAATTCAGTTTACATGCCCAGTGCATGGCTGTTTCCCTGAGACCCTGGGTCTTACCTGTTTGCTGCTCTTTCCTGCTCAGGGGACCAGATTGTGGGTGCCACCATCTATTTTGACAACCTGCAGTCAGGCGAGGTGACCCAGTTGCTGAACACCATGGGGCATCACACTGTCGGCCTGAAGCTGCACCGCAAGGGGGATCGTTCCCCTGAGCCTGGTCAGACCTGGACCCATGAAGTCTTCAGCTCCCGCAGCTCAGAGGTGGTTCTGGTGAGTACCATGTGGCCCATTTGTGCCCTGAGCTCCCCTAGACCACACTGGCCTGTTGTCCCCACTTTATGAACCTTCTGTCTGCTTCTTGGACTTTCTTCTAACTCCTCCTCTTTTTACCTTTCTGGGCTCTCTTGGGCCCTTGGTTAGCCTGTTCCTTCCTACTCCTGTGTGGCATGTGGCTGATGCTGCCCATAAGTCTTCCATCAGTCTCTTGAGAGTGCCCACTGTGCCATGGCATGGGAACCAGCTCATGAGGTCTGGGCCTAGACACCAGGAGGAAGGTCGGCCACTCTGCAAGCTCTTTGAATTAATTCCCTCTCTGTTTCACAGATATCCTTTTTCTCTGTGCCTGTAGGAATGCTTCTCTGCTTCTTCTGAGGGCTTGTTTATTAAGCAAATGACAGCTCCTCAAAGTGAAAGTGGTAGCCAAAGCACATCCAGGCTCTTGGGCTCAACAAGTGCATTCCAACGCAGGGCCTGGGAGCCTCTTTTTGATTAAACAAACAACCAGTGAGTTGAGAGTTGAGAGCTGATGGTCCCCCATCCAGTCCCTGGGACATTCCAGGCTGAAGCTCTCCTGGATTATAGGTCCTCCTCCAAGACGGCCGGGTCCAGGAGTCTATCCCAGCCTCTCCATGGTTTTTGATACCAGAATTTACCCAGATCATTTCTGTGTTCCTCCTGCGACGTGGCTGTCAGCTCCCTTCTTCAGTCCCTTGTTCTCTGTTCCAGGAGGCTCCCTGGACCTTGGTTATAGTCCCAGCTCCTTTGGGAAACCGGCAACCAGGTTGTCAGCTAGGCTGCGGCGGGTATCTGCCAACTTAGGCAGGCTCTGCTGCAACCTCTGCGGGGCGTGTCTTTCTGCAGAGCGGGGATGATGAGGAGTACCAGCGCATCTACACCACAAAGATCAAGCCTCGGCTGAAGTCGGAGGATGGCGTGGAAGGGGACCTTGGGGAGACCCAGAGCCGCACCATCACAGTGACCAGAAGGGTCACAGCCTACACTGTGGATGTGACCGGCCGGGAAGGATCCAAGGACATCGACATCAGCAGCCCTGAATTCATGATCAAGATTCCAAGGCATGAAGTGACTGAAATCTCCAATGTGGATGTGGAGACCCAGCCTGGAAAGACAGTGATCCGATTGCCCTCAGGCTCGGGGGTCTCTCCAACCACAGGTGCCGCCGTCGACATCCAGGCAGGGGCCATTTCTGCCTCAGGACCAGAGCTTCAGGGTGCTGGCCACTCGAAACTCCAGGTCACTGTGCCTGGTATAAAGGTGGGAAGCACCGGTGTCAGTGTCAGTGCAAAGGGCTCAGGCTTGGGTGGCAAAGGAGGGATCCAAGTTCCAGGAGTGGATATTTCATCTGCTCTTGAGGGTGGGGTAGCAGAGGTGCAGGGCCCATCCCCCCAGAGCTGCGATACTGGCAAAATTAAGATTCCTACCATGAAGATGCCAAAATTTGGTGTGTCTGCCGGGCCCGAGGCACCAGAGGTAGGATTGAATGTTTCTGCGCCTGAATTCTCTGTAGGGCATAAGGGCGGCAAGCCCGGCTTGACCATTGGTGGGAATATCCAAGCCCCTCACCTGGAAGTCAGTGCCCCCTCTGCCAATATTGCGGGGCTTGATGGGAAGCTGAAAGGCCCTCAGATTGCTGGGCCATCACTTGAGGGTAACTTAGGCCTGAAAGGTTCCAAGCCACTGGGAAGCATAGGAATAGATGCCTCTGCTCCCAAAATTGAGGGCAGCATCACAGGCCCCAGTGTGGAAATTCGAGCCCCTGATGTCGATATTCATGGGCCTGGGGGCAAACTGAATGTGCCCCAGATGAAAGTCCCTAAATTCTCTGCCTCAGGTTCAAAGGGAGAGGGAGCTGGCATTGATGTGACACTGCCGACAGGTGAAGTGACTCTTCCTGGGGCCTCTGGGGATATGAGCTTACCTGAGATCTCTACTGGTGGGCTGGAAGGGAAGATGAAGGGTGCTAAAGTCAAGACTCCTGAAATGATTATTCAGAAACCTAAAATCTCTATGCAGGATGTGGATCTGAGTCTTGGGTCCCCTAAACTAAAAGGAAATATTAAGGTTTCTGCTCCTGAGGTGAAAGGTGATGTTAAAGGCCCTCAAGTGGCAGTTAAAGGCTCCAAAGTGGACATAGAGACACCAGACTTAGAGGGGACCTTGACAGGCCCCAAGCTGGGCAGTCCTTCTGGGAAAACAGGAACCTGTAGGATCTCTATGGCAGATGTGGACTTAAACGTGGCTGCACCTAAAGGGAAAGGGGGTGTGGATGTCACACTCCCAAAAGTAGAAGGGACAGTCAGGGTCCCTGAAATTGATGTCAAAGGCCCCAAAGTGGACGTCAGTGCCCCAGATGTGGAAGTTCACGGGAACCTGAAAATGCCCAAAATGAAAATGCCCAAGTTCAGCACTCCAGGGGTCAAAGGGGAAGGCCCAGATGTAGAAATGACTCTACCCAAAGGAAATGTCAGTATTTTAGGGCCAGAGGTCAACGTGGAAGCTCCAGATGTCAAGAAGGAGGGCCTGGGGGGCAAACTTAAAGGCCCTGATATTAAGGTGCCTGAAGTGAGTGTCAAGACACCAAAGATCTCCATGCCTGATGTAGATCTGCATGTTAAAGGTACAAAGGTGAAGGGAGAGTATGATGTCACAGTTCCAAAGCTGGAAGGAGAACTGAAAGGCCCGAAAGTGAACATTGATGTCCCAGATGTAGAAGCTCATGGCCCAGACTGGCACCTGAAGATGCCCAAGATGAAAATGCCCAAATTTAGTGTGCCAGGGCTCAAAGCAGAGGGTGCAGAAGTGGAGGTGAATTTGCCGAAGGCTGATGTGGACATTTCTGGGCCCAAGGTAGAGATTAGTGCTCCAGACGTGAGCATTGAGGGACCAGAAGGCAAATTGAAAGGGCCTAAGTTCAAAATGCCTGAAATGAACATCAAAGCTCCCAAGATCTCCATGCCAGATGTGGACTTAGAACTGAAAGGCCCTAGTGTGAAAGGAGAATATAATGTCACAGTGCCAAAGGTCGAAAGTGACATTAAAGTTCCCGACGTTGAACTCAAAAGTGCCAAAGTGGACATTGATGTCCCAGATGTGGAAGCTCGTGGCCCAGACTGGCACCTGAAGATGCCCAAAATGAAAATGCCCAAATTCAGCATGCCTGGCTTCAAAGCAGAGGGCCCGGATGTGGATGTGAACCTCCCTAAGGCCAACATTGAAGTCTCGGGACCCAAGGTGGATGTTGACGTTCCAGATGTGAATATTGAAGGACCTGAAGGAAATCTGAAGGGTCCCAAGATTAAGATGCCAGAGATGAACATCAAGGCCCCCAAGATCTCCATGCCTGATGTGGATTTGCATATGAGAGGTCCCAAGGTAAAGGGAGAATATGATGTTACAGTGCCAAAGATAGAAGGGGATCTGAAAGGTCCAAAAGTAGATGTCAGTGCCCCAGATGTTGATGTTCACGGTCCTGACTGGAACCTGAAAATGCCAAAGATTAAAATGCCCAAATTTAGCATGCCCAGCCTCAAAGGAGAAGGCCCAGACTTGGATGTGAACCTTCCCAAGGCAGATGTGGACATTTCTGCACCAAAGGTAGATATTAGTGCTCCAGACCTGAGCCTTGAAGGACCAGAAGGGAAGTTGAAAGGTCCAAAGTTTAAGATGCCTGAGATGCACTTCAAGGCTCCAAAGATGTCTTTGCCAGATGTTGACCTGGATCTCAAAGGGCCAAAAATGAAAGGAAATCTAGATCTGTCTGCCCCCAAAATAGAGGGTGACATCAAAGGTCCCCCAGTAGACATCAAAGCACCAGATGTGGAAGTTCAAGGTGCAGACTGGAGCCTGAAAATGCCCAAGATGAAAATGCCCAAGTTCACCATGCCCAGCCTCAAAGGTGAGGGTCCAGATGTGGATTTGAACCTGCCCAAGGCTGACATTGATGTTTCAGGACCAAAAGTGGACATTGAAGCTCCAGATGTGAGCCTTGAGGGTCCGGAAGGGAAGCTAAAGGGTCCCAAGTTTAAGATGCCAGACATGCACTTCAAGGCCCCCAAGATCTCCATGCCTGATGTGGACTTACACTTGAAAGGCCCCAAAGTCAAAGGGGATGTGGATGTGGATGTGACAGTGCCCAAGATAGAAGGTGAAATGAAAGTGCCAGATGTGGACATCAAAGGCCCCAAAGTGGACATTGATGCCCCAGATGTGGATGTTCATGGCCCAGACTGGCACCTGAAGATGCCCAAGATGAAAATGCCCAAGTTCAGCATGCCCGGCTTTAAAGCAGAGAGCCCAGAGGTGGATGTGAAACTGCCCAAGGCCGACATTGACATTGCTGGACCCAAAGTTGATATTGAAACCCCAGATGTGAGCCTTGAAGGTCCAGAAGGAAAACTGAAAGGTCCCAAGTTTAAGATGCCTGAGATGCACTTCAAGGCCCCCAAGATCTCCATGCCTGATGTGGACTTGAATGTTAAGGGGCCAAAAGTAAAGGGAGATGTGGATGTGTCTTTACCTGACGTCGAAGGTGAAATAAAAGTGCCAGATGTTGACATTAAAGGGCCAAAAGTTGGCATTGATGCTCCAGATGTGGATGTCCATGGCCCAGACTGGCACCTGAAGATGCCCAAAATGAAAATGCCCAAGTTCAGCATGCCCGGCTTCAAAGCAGAGGGCCCAGATGTAGATGTGAATCTGCCTAAGGCCGACATCGATGTCTCAGGACCCAAGGTGGATGTTGAAGTTCCAGATGTGAATATTGAAGGTCCAGATGCAAAACTCAAAGGTCCCAAATTTAAGCTGCCAGAAATGAACATAAAGCCTCAGAAGATATCCATGCCAGATGTTGGTTTGCATTTAAAAGGTCCTAAGGTAAAAGGAGATTATGATGTTACAGCCCCCAAAATAGAAGGCGAGATCAAAGCTCCTTCTGTTGATGTGAAAGGCCCCAAAGTGGACATCAATGCACCAGATGTGGAAGTTCATGGACCAGATTGGCACCTGAAGATGCCCAAGGTGAAAATGCCCAAGTTCAGCATGCCTGGCTTCAAAGGAGAGGGTCCTGAAGTGGATGTGAATCTTCCTAAGGCCAACATTGATGTTTCAGGACCCCAAGTGAACATTGAGGCTCCAGACGTGAATATTGAAGCTCCAGAGGGGAAACTAAAGGGCCCCAAGTTCAAGATGCCAAGTATGAATATACAGACACACAAAATTTCTATGCCAGATGTTGGACTTAATCTGAAAGCTCCTAAACTGAAAACTGATGTGGATGTTTCCCTTCCCAAAGTGGAGGGAGACCTGAAAGGTCCAGAAGTTGACGTGAAAGCCCCTAAGATGGATGTGGATGTTGGTGATATTGATATTGAATGCCCAGAAGGAAAATTGAAAGGCCCCAAGTTTAAGATGCCCGACATGCACTTCAAGACCCCCAAGATCTCCATGCCTGATGTGGACTTACACTTGAAAGGCCCCAAAGTCAAAGGGGATGTGGATGTGACAGTGCCCAAGATGGAAGGTGAGATGAAAGTGCCAGATGTGGACATCAAAGGGCCAAAAGTTGACATCAGCACCCCAGACGTGGATGTTCATGGCCCAGACTGGCACCTGAAGATGCCCAAGATGAAAATGCCCAAGTTCAGCATGCCCGGCTTCAAAGCAGAGAGCCCAGAGGTGGATGTGAAACTGCCCAAGGCTGACATTGATGTGTCTGGACCCAGCTTGGATATTGATGCCCCTGATTTGGATATTGAAGGACCAGAAGGAAAATTGAAAGGCTCCAAATTTAAGATGCCCAAGTTGAATATCAAAGCTCCCAAGATATCTATGCCAGATGTGGACTTGAATTTGAAGGGACCCAAACTGAAAGGCGAGATAGATGCTTCTATGCCAGAACTGGAAAGTGATCTCAGAGGTCCGCAAGTTGATATCAAGGGTCCCAGTGTGGATGTGGAGGTACCTGATGTTGATTTGGAGTGTCCTGATGCAAAGTTGAAAGGCCCCAAGTTTAAGATGCCTGACATGCACTTCAAGGCCCCCAAGATCTCCATGCCTGATGTGGACTTACACTTGAAAGGCCCCAAAGTCAAGGGTGATATGGATGTGTCTGTGCCAAAATTGGAAGGAGATTTGAAAGGTCCCAGTGTGGATGTGGAAGTGCCTGATGTTGATTTGGAGTGTCCTGATGCAAAGTTGAAAGGCCCCAAGTTTAAGATGCCCGACATGCACTTCAAGGCCCCCAAGATCTCCATGCCTGATGTGGACTTACACTTGAAAGGCCCCAAAGTCAAAGGGGATGTGGATGTGACAGTACCCAAGATAGAAGGTGAGATGAAAGTGCCAGATGTGGATATCAAAGGGCCCAAAGTGGACATTGATGCCCCAGACGTGGATGTTCATGGCCCAGACTGGCACCTGAAGATGCCCAAGATGAAAATGCCCAAGTTCAGCATGCCCGGCTTTAAAGCAGAGAGCCCAGAGGTGGACGTGAAGCTGCCCAAGGCCGACATTGATGTGTCAGGGCCCAAGGTGGACATTGACGTTCCAGATGTGAACATTGAGGGTCCAGAAGGGAAGCTGAAGGGTCCCAAGTTTAAGATGCCTGACATGCACTTCAAGGCCCCCAAGATCTCCATGCCTGATGTGGACTTACACTTGAAAGGCCCCAAAGTCAAGGGTGATATGGATGTGTCTGTGCCAAAATTGGAAGGAGATTTGAAAGGTCCCAGTGTGGATGTGGAAGTGCCTGATGTTGATTTGGAGTGTCCTGATGCAAAGTTGAAAGGCCCCAAGTTTAAGATGCCCGACATGCACTTCAAGGCCCCCAAGATCTCCATGCCTGATGTGGACTTACACTTGAAAGGCCCCAAAGTCAAAGGGGATGTGGATGTGACAGTACCCAAGATGGAAGGTGAGATGAAAGTGCCAGAAGTGGACATCAAAGGGCCCAAAGTGGACATTGATGCCCCAGACGTGGATGTTCATGGCCCAGACTGGCACCTGAAGATGCCCAAAATGAAAATGCCCAAGTTCAGCATGCCCGGCTTCAAAGCAGAGAGCCCAGAGGTGGACATGAACCTGCCCAAGGCCGACATTGATGTGTCAGGGCCCAAGGTGGACATTGACGTTCCAGATGTGAACATTGAGGGTCCAGAAGGGAAGCTGAAGGGTCCCAAGTTTAAGATGCCTGACATGCACTTCAAGGCCCCCAAGATCTCCATGCCTGATGTGGACTTACACTTGAAAGGCCCCAAAGTCAAGGGTGATATGGATGTGTCTGTGCCAAAATTGGAAGGAGATTTGAAAGGTCCCAGTGTGGATGTGGAAGTGCCTGATGTTGATTTGGAGTGTCCTGATGCAAAGTTGAAAGGCCCCAAGTTTAAGATGCCCGACATGCACTTCAAGGCCCCCAAGATCTCCATGCCTGATGTGGACTTACACTTGAAAGGCCCCAAAGTCAAAGGAGATGTGGATGTGACAGTGCCCAAGATGGAAGGTGAGATGAAAGTGCCAGATGTGGACATTAAAGGGCCAAAAGTTGACATCAGCACCCCAGACGTGGATGTTCATGGCCCAGACTGGCACCTGAAGATGCCCAAGATGAAAATGCCCAAATTCAGCATGCCCGGCTTCAAAGCAGAGGGTCCTGAAGTGGACGTGAGCCTGCCTAAGGCTGACCTTGATGTGTCAGGGCCCAAGGTGGATATTGATCTTCCAGGTGTGGGCCTTGAGGGTCCAGAAGGGAAGCTGAAGGGTCCCAAGTTTAAGATGCCTGAGATGCACTTTCATGCCCCCAAGATCTCCATGCCTGATGTGGACTTTAACTTAAAGGGACCTAAAGTCAAAGGAGACATTGATGTTTCTGTTCCAAAGCTTGAAGGGGAGTTAAAGGGTCCTGAACTGGATGTCAAGGGCCCCAAATTAGATGCTGATCTCCCAGAAGTCTCTGTGGAAGGCCCAGATGGTAAATGGAAAAGTCCTAAATTTAAGATGCCAGACATGCACTTTAAAGCTCCTAAAATTTCCATGCCAGATATTGATCTACACTTAAAGAGTCCCAAGGTAAAGGGAGAGGTGGATGTGGATGTTCCAAAATTGGAAGGAGACCTCAAAGGGCCACATATGGATATCAGTGGGCCAGAAGTTGATATTGAAGGACCAGAGGGAAAATTGAAAGGCCCTAAATTCAAGATGCCTGATATGCACTTCAAAGCCCCCAATATTTCTATGCCTGATGTTGATCTAAATTTGAAAGGACCCAAAATCAAGGGAGATGTGGATGTGTCTGTGCCTGAGGTAGAAGGTAAAATAAAAGTACCAGATGTAAATATCAAGGGCCCCAAAATAGATGTTAATGCTCCTGATGTTCATGGCCCAGATTGGCATTTGAAGATGCCCAAGATGAAAATGCCCAAATTCAGCATGCCTGGCTTCAAGGGAGAGGGTCCTGAAGTGGACGTGAACCTGCCCAAGGCTGACATTGATGTCTCAGGACCTAAGGTGGACATTGAAGGCCCTGATGTGAACATTGAAGGACCAGAAGGAAAGTTGAAAGGTCCTAAGTTCAAGATGCCGGAGATGAACATCAAGGCCCCCAAGATCTCCATGCCTGACATTGATTTGCATCTGAAGGGTCCCAAGATGAAGGGTGATGTGGATGCTTCTCTCCCCAAGATTGAAGGAGATCTAAAAGGCCCAGAAGTTGATATCAAAGGTCCAAAAATGGACATCAGTGCCCCTGATGTGGATGTGCAAGGCCCAGACTGGCACCTGAAGATGCCCAAGGTGAAAATGCCCAAGTTCAGCATGCCTGGCTTCAAAGGAGAGGGTCCTGAAGTGGACGTGAAACTGCCCAAGGCTGACATTGATGTCTCAGGGCCCAAGGTGGACATTGAAGTTCCTGATGTGAACATTGAAGGACCAGAAGGAAAGCTGAAAGGTCCCAAGTTCAAGATGCCGGAGATGAACATCAAGGCCCCCAAGATCTCCATGCCTGACATTGACCTTAACCTGAAAGGCCCCAAAGTGAAGGGCGATGTGGACGTGTCTCTGCCCAAAGTGGAAGGTGAGATTAAAGTTCCTGAAGTGGACATCAAAGGCCCCAAAGTGGACGTTGATGTTCCAGATGTGGATGTTCATGGCCCAGACTGGCACTTGAAGATGCCCAAGATAAAAATGCCCAAGTTCAGCATGCCAGGCTTCAAGGGAGAAGGACCAGAGGTTGATGTGAACTTGCCCAAAGCTGACATTGATGTCTCAGGGCCTAAGGTGGACATTGAAGGTCCTGATGTCAGTATTGAAGGACCTGAAGGAAAGTTGAAAGGTCCCAAGTTCAAGATGCCTGAGATGAACATCAAAGCTCCCAAGATCTCCATGCCTGACTTTGATTTGCACATGAAGGGTCCTAAGGTGAAAGGAGATGTGGATGTGTCTCTGCCTAGAGTAGAAGGTGACCTCAAGGGTCCTGAAATCGACATCAAAGGCCCCAAAGTGGACATTGATGCTCCAGATGTGGATGTTCAGGGCCCAGACTGGCACCTGAAGATGCCCAAGGTGAAAATGCCCAAGTTCAGCATGCCTGGCTTCAAAGGAGAAGGCCCTGAAGTGGACGTGAACCTGCCCAAAGCTGACATTGATGTCTCAGGACCCAAGGTGGACATTGAAGGTCCTGATGTGAACATTGAAGGACCTGAAGGAAAGTTGAAAGGTCCCAAGTTCAAGATGCCTGAGATGAACATCAAAGCCCCCAAGATTTCCATGCCTGACTTTGATTTGCATCTAAAGGGTCCCAAGGTAAAAGGTGATGTGGACGTTTCTCTGCCAAAAGTGGAAGGTGACTTAAAGGGTCCTGATGTTGACATCAAAGGCCCCAAAGTGGACATCGATGCCCCAGATGTGGATGTACAAGGCCCAGACTGGCACCTGAAGATGCCCAAGGTGAAAATGCCCAAGTTCAGCATGCCTGGCTTCAAAGGAGAGGGTCCTGAAGTGGACGTGAACCTGCCCAAGGCTGACATTGATGTCTCAGGGCCCAAGGTGGACATTGAAGTTCCTGATGTGAACATTGAAGGTCCAGATGCAAAGCTGAAAGGTCCCAAGTTCAAGATGCCAGAGATGAACATCAAGGCCCCCAAGATCTCCATGCCTGACATTGACCTTAACCTGAAAGGCCCCAAAGTGAAGGGCGATGTGGACGTGTCTCTGCCCAAAGTGGAAGGTGAGATTAAAGTTCCTGAAGTGGACATTAAAGGCCCCAAAGTGGACGTTGATGTTCCAGATGTGGATGTTCATGGTCCAGATTGGCACTTGAAGATGCCCAAAATAAAAATGCCCAAGTTCAGCATGCCAGGCTTCAAGGGAGAAGGACCAGAGGTTGATGTGAACTTGCCCAAAGCTGACATTGATGTCTCAGGGCCTAAGGTGGACATTGAAGGTCCTGATGTTAGTATTGAAGGACCTGAAGGAAAGTTGAAAGGTCCCAAGTTCAAGATGCCTGAGATGAACATCAAGGCCCCCAAGATCTCAATGCCAGATTTGGACCTTAATCTTAAAGGCCCTAAAGTGAAAGGGGAGGTGGATGTTTCACTTCCAAATGTAGAAGGTGATTTGAAAGGACCTACACTTGACATAACAGGCCCGAAATTAGACGTAGATGTTCCAGATATTGACATTCATGGCCCAGAAGGCAAATTAAAAGGTCCCAAACTGAAGATGCCTGAAATGCATGTAAACATGCCCAAGATCTCCATGCCAGAAATTGACTTGAATTTGAAGGGATCAAAGCTGAAGGGAGATGTTGATATCTCTGGGCCAAAACTGGAGGGTGACATTAAAGCTCCCAAACTGGATGTGAAAGGCCCAGAAGTAGACATTTCTGGTCCGAAGCTCAATATTGAAGGCAAGTCAAAGAAATCTCGTTTTAAACTTCCCAAATTTAATTTTTCGGGCTCCAAAGTTCAGACACCTGAGGTGGATATTAAAGCTAAAAAGCCAGATATTGATGTAACTGGCCCAAAAGTTGATCTTAATGCTCCTGAAGTTGAAGTTCAAGGAAAAGTGAAAGGATCTAAGTTTAAAATGCCTTTCCTGAGTATTTCATCTCCCAAAGTGTCTATGCCTGATGTGGAGTTAAATTTGAAAGGTCCTAAAGTCAAAGGAGATTTAGATGTTGCAGGTCCAACTTTAGAAGGAGAATTTAAAGGTCCCAAAGTGGATATTCAGGCACCAGATGTCCACCTTAATGCACCTGAAGTAGATGTTCATGGTCCAGATTTGAATGTGAAAATGCCCAAGATGAAAATGCCCAAATTTGGTGTTCCTGGCTTAAAAGCAGAAGGTCCAGAAATGGCTGTGGATCTACCAAAAGGAGACATCAACATAGAAGGTCCCACTCTGAATGTTGAGGGCCCAGAACTCAATGTGGAAGGTCCAGAAGGAAGCATAAAAGGTCCCAAATTCAAGATGCCTGACATGAACATAAAAGCTCCTAAGATCTCCATGCCTGACATTGACTTAAATCTGAAGGGTCCCAAGGTGAAAGGTGATATGGATATTTCTCCACCCAAACTTGAAGGGGATCTGAAAGGGCCAGAAGTTGATATCAAAGGCCCTAAAGTGGACATCAGTGCCCCAGAAGTGGATGTTCATGGTCCAGACTGGAACCTGAAGATGCCCAAGATGAAAATGCCCAAGTTTAGCATGCCCGGCTTCAAAGGAGAGGGTCCTGAAGTGGATGTGAACCTGCCTAAGGCTGACATTGACATTTCTGGCCCCAGTGTAGACATTGATGTCCCTGATGTCAACATTGAAGGTCCAGATGCAAAACTGAAGGGTCCCAAATTCAAGATGCCTGAGATGAACATCAAGGCCCCTAAGATCTCCATGCCTGACTTTGATCTAAACCTGAAGGGCCCCAAAATGAAGGGTGATGTGGATGTTTCTCTGCCAAAAGTGGAAGGTGATGTAAAGGGTCCCGAGGTGAACATTAAGGGCCCCAAAGTGGACATTGACACTCCTGATATTAATATAGAAGGCCCAGAGGGTAAATTGAAGGGACCCAAATTTAAGATGCCAGAAATGCATTTAAAGGCTCCCAAAATATCTATGCCTGACATTGACTTGAACATGAAGGGCCCCAAGATGAAGGGTGATGTGGATGCTTCTCTCCCCAAGATTGAAGGAGATCTAAAAGGCCCAGAAGTTGATATCAAAGGTCCAAAAATGGACATCAGTGCCCCTGATGTGGATGTGCAAGGCCCAGACTGGCACCTGAAGATGCCCAAGGTGAAAATGCCCAAGTTCAGCATGCCTGGCTTCAAAGGAGAGAGTCCTGAAGTGGACGTGAACCTGCCCAAGGCTGACATTGATGTCTCAGGGCCCAAGGTGGACATTGAAGTTCCTGATGTGAACATTGAAGGACCAGAAGGAAAGCTGAAAGGTCCCAAGTTCAAGATGCCTGAGATGAACATCAAGGCCCCCAAGATCTCCATGCCTGACATTGACCTTAACCTGAAAGGCCCCAAAGTGAAGGGCGATGTGGACGTGTCTCTGCCCAAAGTGGAAGGTGAGATTAAAGTTCCTGAAGTGGACATCAAAGGCCCCAAAGTGGACGTTGATGTTCCAGATGTGGATGTTCATGGCCCAGACTGGCACTTGAAGATGCCCAAGATAAAAATGCCCAAGTTCAGCATGCCAGGCTTCAAGGGAGAAGGACCAGAGGTTGATGTGAACTTGCCCAAAGCTGACATTGATGTCTCAGGGCCTAAGGTGGACATTGAAGGTCCTGATGTCAGTATTGAAGGACCTGAAGGAAAGTTGAAAGGTCCCAAGTTCAAGATGCCTGAGATGAACATCAAAGCTCCCAAGATCTCCATGCCTGACTTTGATTTGCACATGAAGGGTCCTAAGGTGAAAGGAGATGTGGATGTGTCTCTGCCTAGAGTAGAAGGTGACCTCAAGGGTCCTGAAATCGACATCAAAGGCCCCAAAGTGGACATTGATGCTCCAGATGTGGATGTTCAGGGCCCAGACTGGCACCTGAAGATGCCCAAGGTGAAAATGCCCAAGTTCAGCATGCCTGGCTTCAAAGGAGAAGGCCCTGAAGTGGACGTGAACCTGCCCAAAGCTGACATTGATGTCTCAGGACCCAAGGTGGACTTAGACACTCCTGACATTGACATTCATGGTCCAGAAGGGAAACTGAAGGGTCCAAAGTTTAAAATGCCTGACCTGCATCTCAAGGCCCCCAAGGTCTCCATGCCTGAAGTTGACCTGAGTCTGAAGGGTCCAAAGGTGAAAGGTGATGTGGATGTTTCTCTGCCCAAAGTGGAAGGTGACCTCAAAGGCCCTGAAGTTGACATCAAAGGCCCCAAGGTAGACATCAGTGCCCCAGATGTGGATGTTCATGGCCCAGACTGGCACTTGAAGATGCCCAAGGTGAAAATGCCCAAGTTCAGCATGCCTGGCTTCAAAGGAGAGGGTCCTGAAGTGGACGTGAACCTGCCCAAGGCTGACATTGATGTCTCAGGGCCCAAGGTGGACATCGAGGTTCCAGATGTGAACATTGAAGGTCCAGATGCAAAGCTGAAAGGTCCCAAGTTCAAGATGCCAGAGATGAACATCAAGGCCCCCAAGATCTCCATGCCTGACATTGACTTTAACCTGAAAGGCCCCAAAGTAAAGGGCGATGTAGATGTTTCTCTACCCAAAGTGGAAGGTGAGATTAAAGTTCCTGAAGTTGACATCAAAGGCCCCAAGGTAGACATCAGTGCCCCAGATGTGGATGCTCATGGCCCAGACTGGCACTTGAAGATGCCCAAGGTGAAAATGCCCAAGTTCAGCATGCCTGGCTTCAAAGGAGAGGGTCCTGACGTGGATGTGAACCTACCCAAGGCTGACATTGATGTCTCAGGGCCCAAGGTGGACATTGAGGTTCCAGATGTGAACATTGAAGGACCAGAAGGAAAGTTGAAAGGTCCCAAGTTCAAGATGCCAGAGATGAACATCAAGGCCCCCAAGATCTCCATGCCTGACATTGACTTTAACTTGAAGGGTCCCAAAGTGAAGGGTGATGTGGATGTGTCTCTACCCAAAGTAGAAGGTGATCTCAAGGGCCCTGAAATTGATATTAAGGGCCCCAGTGTGGACATTGATGTTCCTGATGTCAATATTGAAGGTCCAGAAGGAAAATTAAAAGGGCCCAAATTTAAAATGCCAGAGATGAATATCAAAGCTCCCAAGATTTCCATGCCTGACTTTGACTTAAATCTCAAAGGGCCAAAGGTAAAGGGAGATGTGGACCTTTCCCTACCTAAGGTGGAAGGTGATCTGAAAGGGCCAGAGGTGGATATTGAAGGCCCTGAAGGGAAAATCAAAGGTCCTAAATTTAAGATGCCTGATGTCCATTTCAAAACTCCCCAAATCTCCATGAGTGACATTGATTTGAACTTGAAAGGACCTAAGATAAAAGGAGATTTGGATGTTTCTATTCCTGCACCTGAAGGAGATTTGAAGGGCCCAAAAGTGGATATCAAAGGCCCTAAGCTGGACTTAGATACTCCTGACATTGACATTCATGGTCCAGAAGGGAAACTGAAGGGTCCAAAGTTTAAAATGCCTGACCTGCATCTCAAGGCCCCCAAGGTCTCCATGCCTGAAGTTGACCTGAGTCTGAAGGGTCCAAAGGTGAAAGGTGATGTGGATGTTTCTCTGCCCAAAGTGGAAGGTGACCTCAAAGGCCCTGAAGTTGACATCAAAGGCCCCAAGGTAGACATCAGTGCCCCAGATATGGATGTTCATGGCCCAGACTGGCACTTGAAGATGCCCAAGGTGAAAATGCCCAAGTTCAGCATGCCTGGCTTCAAAGGAGAGGGTCCTGAAGTGGATGTGAACCTGCCCAAGGCTGACATTGATGTCTCAGGGCCCAAGGTGGACATCGAGGTTCCAGATGTGAACATTGAAGGTCCAGATGCAAAGCTGAAAGGTCCCAAGTTCAAGATGCCAGAGATGAACATCAAGGCCCCCAAGATCTCCATGCCTGACATTGACCTTAACCTGAAAGGCCCCAAAGTGAAGGGCGATGTGGACGTATCTCTACCCAAAGTAGAAGGTGACCTGAAGGGTCCTGAAATTGACATCAAAGGCCCCAAAGTGGATATCAGTGCCCCAGATGTGGATACTCATGGCCCAGACTGGCACCTGAAGATGCCCAAGGTGAAAATGCCCAAGTTCAGCATGCCTGGCTTCAAAGGAGAGGGTCCTGAAGTGGACGTGAACCTGCCCAAGGCTGACATTGATGTCTCAGGGCCCAAGGTGGACATTGCTGTCCCGGATGTAAATATTGAAGGTCCAGATGCAAAGCTGAAAGGTCCTAAGTTCAAGATGCCTGAGATAAATATCAAGGCTCCTAAGATCTCCATGCCTGATGTTGACCTGGATTTGAAAGGACCCAAAGTAAAAGGAGATTTCGATGTGTCTGGCCCTAAGATTGAAGGCCCAGAAGTAGACCTGAAAGGTCCAGGTCTGGATTTTGGAGGCCCTGATGCCAAACTCAGTGGCCCTAATTTGAAGATGCCATCACTGGATATATCTGCACCGAAAGTGACTGTTCCTGATGTTGATTTGCATCTTAAGACACCAAAAATTGGAATTTCTGGTCCCAAGCTAGAAGGTGGTGATATGGACTTCAAGGGGCCCAAAGTTGATTTGGAAGCTCCAAGCTTAGATGTACACATGGAAAGCCCAGATATTAACATTGAGGGGCCAGATGTTAAGATTCCTAAGTTTAAGAAACCCAAGTTTGGATTTGGGGCAAAAAGTCCAAAAGCTGACATCAAGTCACCTTCACTCGATGTGACTCTTCCTGAGGCAGAACTGAATGTTGAAGCTCCTGAAATTAGTGTTGGTGGCAAGGGCAAGAAAAGTAAATTTAAAATGCCTAAAATTCACATGAGTGGTCCTAAAGTTAAGGCCAAAAAGCAGGGATTTGATTTGAATGTTCCTGGGGCTGAGATCGATGCCAGTCTCAAAGCTCCTGATGTAGATGTCAATGTCACGGGGCCAGATGCTGCACTCAAAGTCGATGTAAAATCTCCCAAAACCAAGAAGACTATGTTTGGAAAAATGTACTTCCCAGATGTAGAGTTTGACATCAAATCACCTAAATTTAAAACTGAGGCCCCGCTCCCTAGCCCCAAGCTGGAGGGTGAAATCCAGGCACCTGATCTAAATATTTCTTCACCAGGAATTAATGTGGAAGGTCCCAAGTTCAAGATGCCAGGTGTGGATGTGTCAGGGCCAAAAATAGAGGGCGACTTGAAAGGCCCCAGGGTACAGGCCAACTTAGGCACACCTGATATCAACATCGAAGGCCCAGATGCTAAAATCAAAGCACCATCTTTTGGCATTTCTGCCCCTCAAGTCTCCATGCCTGATGTGAATGTTAACTTGAAAGGACCAAAGATAAAGGGTGATGTCCCCAGTGTGGGACTGGAAGGACCAGATGTAGATCTGCATGGTCCAGAAGCAAAAATCAAGTTCCCCCACTTTTCGATGCCCAAGATCAGCGTCCCTGGTGTGAAAATGGAGGGTGGAGCAGCCGAGCTCAATGCCCAGCTGCCCTCTCTTGAAGGAGGCTTGAGCACACCAGATGTTAAGCTTGAAGGGCCTGATGTCTCTCTGAAGGGGCCAGGAATAGACTTGCCTTCAGTCAACCTCTCTATGCCAAAAGTCTCTGGGCCTGATCTTGGCCTGAACTTGAAAGGACCAAGTTTGAAGGGAGACCTGGATGCATCGGCTCCAAGCATAAAGGTGCAGGCCCCAGGGCTCGACCTCAGAGGTGTCGGTGGAAAGGTGCAGGTGGGAGGAGATGGTATGAAAGTGCCGGGGATCAACGCCACAACGCTTAATGTCGGGGCACCAGACGTGACACTGAAGGGACCATGCCTCCAGGGAGATCTGGCTGTCTCTGGTGACATCAAGGGCCCTAAAATATCCGTAGGTGCTCCTGATCTAAGCTTGGAGGCACCCGAAGGTGGTATTAAACTTCCCCAAATGAAGCTGCCCCAGTTTGACATCTCCACTCCAGGGTCTGACTTGGACATTAACATCAAGGGGCCACAAGTTGGTGGAGAGCTAAAGGGGCCAGGCCTGGATGTGAACCTGAAAGGGCCTCAGATCTCAGCACCAGATGTGGACTTGAACTTGGAAGGACCAAAAGTGAAAGGGAGCCTCGGGGGCATTGGTGAGATGAAAGGCCCCACAGTCGCAGGAAGTCTGCCGGGTGTCAGTGTTCAGGGCCTGGACGGCAATCTCCACATGCCTGGAATCAAGTCCCCTGGATGTGCTATGGACCTGCCAGGTGTGAATGTCAAACTCCCAACTGGGCAGATTTCGGGTCCTGAAATCAAAGGTGATCTGAAAGGTTCAGGAATGGGTTTCCATGGAGCTGTTCCTGACATCAATGTAAAAGGGCCTTCCTTTAATGTGGCATCTCCTGAGTCAGATTTTGGTGTCAGCTTGAAGGGCCCAAAAATCAAAGGCGGTGTGGATGTTTCAGGTGGTATCAGTGCCCCAGATATCAGCCTGGGCGAAGGGCATATGAGTGTTAAAGGATCTGGGGTGGAGTGGAAGGGACCCCAGGCCTCCTCTGCTCTCAACCTGGATGCATCTAAACTTGCTGGGGGCCTTCATTTCTCAGGACCAAAGATAGAAGGAGGAGTGAAAGGAGGTCAGATTGGACTCCAGGGTCCTGGGCTGAGTGTGTCTGGGCCTCAAGGTCACTTGGAAAGTGGATCTGGAAAAGTAACATTCCCCAAGATGAAGATCCCCAAATTTACCTTCTCTGGCCGTGAGCTGGTTGGCAGAGAAGTGGGGGTGGATATCAACTTCCCGAAAGTGGAGGGCAATGTGCAGGCCTGTGCTGGAGAAGGCGAGTGGGAAGAATCCGAAGTAAAACTTAAAAAGTCCAAAATCAAAATGCCCAAGTTTAATTTTTCCAAACCTAAAGGGAAAGGTGGCGTCACGGGTTCACCAGAAGCATCCATCTCTGGGTCCAAAGGTGACCTGAAAAGTTCCAAGGCCAGCCTGGGCTCCCTGGAAGGAGAAGCAGAGGCCGAGGCATCTTCACCCAAAGGCAAATTCTCCCTATTTAAAAGTAAGAAGCCACGGCACCGCTCCAATTCTTTCAGTGATGAAAGGGAGTTCTCCGCCCCTTCCACCCCCACGGGGACTTTGGAGTTTGAAGGTGGAGAAATGTCCCTGGAAGGTGGGAAAGTTAAAGGGAAGCATGGGAAGCTGAAGTTTGGTACCTTTGGTGGAATAGGGTCAAAGAGCAAAGGTCATTACGAGGTGACCGGGAGCGATGATGAGGCAGGCAAGTTACAGGGGAGTGGAGTGTCCCTGGCCTCTAAGAAGTCCCGACTGTCCTCTTCTTCTAGCAACGACAGTGGTACTAAGGTCGGCATCCAGCTTCCTGAGGTTGAGCTGGCGGTTTCCACAAAGAAAGAGTAGAGGGCCTCTGTATGTGTGTACATATCTATATAAATACATCCGCCTTGGGTGTCTTTGTTTATAAACTGCAAAGAGAAACACCCCAACAGCCTCAGCAATAATGCAAAGATCTTGCCTCTCCCAGTGGTGGCAGGTGCTGAAAAACCAACCACCGACAGGCTCCAGGAACTCTACAGAAGAAGAGTTCCAAGTTCATCCAGCCGTGTGCAAAGTCAACAGTTATTTTGCCTTTAAGAGTTCAGTTTTTTTTTTTTTTTTTTTTGCATTGAACGCTGAGAGCTCCTGTTTACTAAAGCCAGCTTTTGTGTTTATTATCCTTGTTTTTACTGAACATTGTTAGTGTTGGGGGTAATGGAAACCCATTTTTTTCATTGTAATGACTTTGGGCTTTTGTTAGTAGGGGAGGGTGGGGTAAAGGCAGCAGGGGTGGGGTGGGGAGATCAGCATTGATCCTAAGATCAGATCTATTCAAACAGAGCATCTGGATGTGATGGCCCAGAGGAGGTGACAGCCAGAGTCTGGGCATGGTTTGGGGGTCTTTAGCACAGCTTTTCCCCCCAGGGGTGGTGGTCCCAGCCAGTTCAGTGCTCAAAGGTGAGGTGAGAGGGAATTAGAAACTGCAAATTGTCCAACCCACTGGCTCAACAGGAGGGACTTCTATTCTGTGTTTTGTAAGAGAAATGTTTTATTCATGACTGCCATGTTCCTGATAATAGTTCTGATTTCTTTTTTTTTAACAAATGTTTTCATGATTCAGAAAATTTCTGGCACTTTAATGGCAAATTAATTGAGAATGTAAGAAAGTGATGCTGTATGAGGCAAATAAAGCTGTTATTAACCCTGACGTCTAGTGCCTTTGCGTTCTGTGCTGGGGGGATGAAGCTGAGGGGAGGCTGCGCACCCAGCCCGACTGTGCAGACTGGATTCACCTCGTGCCATTGCTAGTATTTTTTTTTTTTAATATTTATTTTTTAGTTGTCACTGGACACATACCTTTATTTATTTATTTCTATGTGGTGCTGAGGATCGAACTCAGGGCTTCGCACGTGCTAGGCTAGCGCTCTGCCGCTGAGCCACACCACAGCCCCACTGCGAGTTTTATCAGTGACTTTAATGTATGGCGTCCCCATAGGTTGCAGGAGGAGTTCCTAGCTTTTTTTTTTTTTTAAATGTATTTTTTAGCTGTAGATGGACACAATACCTTAATTTTATTTATTTATTTCTATGTGGTGCTGAGGATAGAACCCAGGGCCTCGCATGTGCTAGGCGAGTGCTCTAAGGCTGAGCCCCAGCCCCAGCCCCGTTCTTAGCTTTTTGATTCTCATTATTAGTCTGACTGCACCATTGCTGAGGAATCAAGAAAGGCTAGAGGGTTGGGGTGTAAGGACCCAACTCTAAACACCGATTTCATTTGTTTCAAGTACACCTTCTGCAAGTAGCCGGAAGATAATTTTATATAATATTTTAAATAATTTTGTGCATGAAATGAAGTATCCTGGTGTGGGACATTTCTCTTGCGGTATCCTGTCAGTGGTTCAACAGTTGTGGGTTTTGGATCATTTCAGATTAGGACACTCAACTTTATCCTGGGTGTTTAGTGCTTCATAAGAAGGGCACCACGTGGAAGTGTGTAGCATTCACGTCACGGCCATATGTGTACTTACGGAGAGCGTGGTACAGCTCTCTTCTACAGCAACCCCAGGGACATGCTGTCTTCTGGCCTCATTGGGTCTGAGTACCCTCCAACGGTGCCCCTTTCATTCATTCACAACTTGAAGCCTGAGTCCTGCCTCCCTGAACTCTGACAGGGGGTGTGGGGAGAAGGGGACAGAGTGTGCATGATACCTGAGATGTGTGGCCCTTGTGTCAGGAGGTGGGGCAAGTAGGTGAAAGGGAGCTACACTTGTGTACACAGCTGAAGAGGTGCCCTCGAGGATGCTGGAGATCTCCTGGGCCTGACTACGCAGGTTGTAGTAATATAGAATCATTTTTTATTTTTATTTTTTAGCTTGAGGAAGGATGGTGTAGGTCAGTGGTGGTCCCCAGTGTCCATCCATTTAATGAATTTGTGGTGTGTGTGTGTGTTGCTGGGAATCAAACCCAAGGCCTTGCACATCCTAGGCAGGTGCTCTGCTCGTGAGCTAAAAGAGAATGGGTTTTGAGTACCTTGTGACTAGATGAGACCAAATGAGGTGATGGATGTGGAAAAGGTCCCTTCATTATCCAGGCAGATCCCAGTGGCTGGGGCATCGGGGGTGGTGGATGGCATAAGGGAGAAGCAGCAACAGGCCATCCAGGCTTAAGACACTTCGCAGCCTCTTTCACACCAGGCCCAGGTGGGAGGCAGTGAGCACAGAGGGGGCCTCCCTCCGGCAGGATCATAGCCACAGTAGGGTCAGCGTGGAAGAAGGCACAGGGCAGGAGTGGCACCAGAGGGCACATTCCAGCTGGGTCCTTTTGTCCGGGCCCCACCTGCCTGCTCTCGTTAACCCCTGTGCGCCTGGTCCCCGCGCTGTCTTCATCATTGTCTTCCCGGCCCTCCCCCAGCCCCTGGTGGGAAAGGTCTAAGTGATTCTCAAAGTCCGGCAGATTCCTTACACTTGCCATCTCCTGCCCCGAGACCCCAGCTCCTGCATCTGAGGGTGAGAGCAGCATCAGCAGGTGGGGACAGGCTGGACTGGGCTCTTCCATGTCCTCCCTCCGAGCTCCAGCAGCCGCAGTAGCGAGGACTGTGGCCTCAAGGACTTTAGGCAGCGTGACAGTGTGTGGACAGTGGTGTGGTTAGGGGGTCCGTGAGAAAACTGAATCACTTTGAAATACACTGGGTTCTTACCCACGGAAGTGAACAGTTTTCATGAACTCAAAATCCTTTCCATGTCTGTCAGGCTCCCTCGGCAAGCTCAGTTCCACTTGAAGATAGTTCAACCAAAGAAAATTCAATCCAGGGACTGTTTATTTTTTTACTTTTTGGTGCTGGGCATTGAACCCAGGGACGCTTAACCACTGAGCCACATCCTTAGTCCTTTTTTTAATATTTTAGAGAAAGGATCTTTCTAAGTTGCTGAGGCTGGCTTTGAACTCGTGATCCTCCTGCCTCAGCCTCCCAAGCTGCTGGCAAGGGGACTGTTTATGAAGTGGTGGGCGGGAGCAAAAGAGCCAAAAAGAGGTGGTGAGACCCCTAGGGACAGTAGGAAACCGGGACTAACCCTGGACCTGAAGGGGCCTGGGCAAGGGATGGAGCTCCTGAGGTTCATTCAGCATGAGTGGGAGATAGAGGAGGTGCTGCCATTCGGGGCTGTAGCCAAGAGCCACAGCATGCCCAGCACCGCCCGACTGTGAGGCAGGCAGAAATACCCTGACCACCCTCCTCCTGCTGGTGCCTCCACTGGAGAGTCAGGGAACCAGATGTTGCAGATGATCAGCCCCCTGGGGCTCCAAGCTGGGCAGAGAAGCAGGGAGAAGGGCCCTGAAGCTACAGGGCAGAGAGCAGCCAGGACAATATCCTAATCCTTTTATTTTTCTGTTTGGTAAGCTTGAATTTTTATATATTGAGGTTTCTTAAAATATTGAGGTTTCTTAAATACATGGGATGTATTTAAGGTATGATCGAAAAAGCAGTGTAACAATTTTCAAACAAAACAAAAAACACATTTACCCATCTCTATGGTTGTTCTGTTCTCGGTAGTCACCTTGGGGAGTGCCACACTTACTTCTATTGTCCTCAGAGTCACTTGTACACTTATAAACAATTTTCCTTGGGCAAATGCACATTTTTCCTCTCTTGTTTTTGCAAAGGGCCTGGGAGAGAACCCAGGGTTCCTAGTTCAGGACCTGTAAGGAGCACTGGCCCGGGAGTCCCTGAGATTACCTCTGAATTTAGGCCCGCTAAGATCCATGTAGGAGCCTCTGTTTCCTTGTTTTCAACACAGGTGAAGCATTTTCCAAGGTCTTTATTGGTTCTAATAGTCTAGGATACCTTCAGAAGCAAGGCCTGCTAGTTGGGTAGATGGGCTGTTTGGGCTCAAAAGCAAGGAGGGACTATAATATAGTGCAACCAATTTACCTGTGTGCAAATTGTCAGCAGTGTTTTGAGCACAGGCAGCAGTGCCAAAATACTGCTGTCTCCAGCTTCCCACAGTAAGGAGGGCAGCACACACCACGACTTGCATGGTGTCAGCACACATTGAGAGGTCCACCTGAGCTCTCTGCTGTTGCATATTAGCTGTGACATTAGGAAACAATCTGGGAGAGGCAACTAAGCAGAAGTCTCTCTCTCTCTCTCTCTCTCTCTCTCTCTCTCTCTCTCCCCGGTACTGGGGATGGAATCCCTGGGGGTTCTCTACCACTGAGCTACATCCCCAACCCTTTTTATTTTTTATTTTGAGACAGGGTCTCACTAAGTTGCTGAGGCTGGCCTCCAGTTTTTGATCCTTCTGCCTCAGCCTCCTGGAGATGCTGGGATTCCGGGCATGCTCCACCATGCCTGCTGTCCGGGTCTCTATTTCTTCAATCTGGAATCGTTTCTCAGCTTTTTGTTGCCATTCCAGGACACTGATATCTTGGAAGAGCATAGGGCCAGTCGTCCCTCAGTGTGAGTTCATCTGTTGATGGTTTGATTCAGTTATGTGTCTTGAAGCAGGAAAACCACAGAAGTGAGGTTGGGCACATCCCCTCAGAAGGCACATGATGGGTTTACTGATTTCAATTAAGTAGGAGGTTGCCAAATTTCCTCATTTTAATCTTGCTATGTTTTCCTGTTGGAATTAATAAGTAAACTCAAGGTTTTGAAGCTAGAAGTCCAAGTTTGGGCAAGTTTATTTTGCAAGCACGCTTTAAAGGGTTGGTGGCATGCTCAGCCTTGGCATGCTCTCCAGTTGGGGATTTTGAAAATGGGGTTCTGGCTTGGCGCTTTTTAGCACAGAGCAGCTCTCTGTCTTTCCTCACGAGGACAAAGAATTCCGTGCATGAATGTTTGCCAAGCTCGGGAATGCCATGTGTTGTTTACCAGCCTCTGAATTGCCCTGTGGCGTCAGGCAGCCTCAAGGGTTCCCTAAGGCTGAAGGCTCCCTGCAGATCCACTGCCCTGGGCCACAGCAAATGTGTGGGGAATGTTCTGCTGAGGAGAGAGGTTTCATTTCCCTTTAAATGCCCCTGTTATTTTCCACCACAAGCTTGAGGACAGGCCTTAACAGAAAAACTTCCCAGAAGTGTGGCCAAGGTTGGGGAAGAGGTACAGATGAAAAGGCCTTCTCCTCGGAAAGACAGGTTGTTCCAGTTCACAAAAGGCTTTATATCCGAGATGGCACGCGGAGTTCTCAGCCCCACCCAGAAAGCGGGCTGCACAGTTGAGTCCATTTTGGGTACCAGAAAGGTGAGGCTCAGAGGTGAACTGACGGCTCACAACTCAGAGAACTGAGAAGTCACCCTACTCACGTCAATCCAAGTTTTCTGATGAAAAAAAAATTTTTTTTTTCCATCCCCAAGAGATTTCTCTAAGGAAGTTGGGAACTTAGAAAATGGGATATGTCTCTTGACATTTGTAGTTTGGGACCTTTTAACACCCCCAACAGTAGTTATTCAACAGTCATGGACAACTGTTATGTGCAAAGTTCCTTTCTTCAATGAGCCTATAGTCTAGGGAGGCGAATAATGATAGCTATCAGTTCTGTTGCTTCCTAGCTGTGTGATCTTGGGCAAGTTATCAAACTTCTCCATGCCTCCATTTCCTTATCTATAAAATAGGGATGTTATGGTACCTCACAGCGTTATTGTCAGGATGAGGTAAATTAGCATATATCATGTGCTCAGCACATAGTGAATACTGTGTGAGCTATTCCATACAGT